TCCGCCCCGCCCGCAGCCAATCACAGCACGGCTCCGGCCCGCTGGGCCCGCCCCTGCACTGCCCGCCCAATCAGAGCCCGGCGGGGGCCGCGCGGGAAGGAGGCGCCGCCATGGCGGGCTGGGCAGTGTGTCCTGCACCGGGCCGGGCTTGAGCGGCGGACAGGGAGACGGCGTTATGTTCTTATTAATGGCGCTGGTAAAGCGAATTTCCCATCAGAGAGCAGAGCTCCAAAGGCTAGAGACAGCCCCCAGCTGCTGCAGCCCAGCGACCAGCGCGATGACCTGGGCACCCCCGGCGCGAATGTCCCACCCGAGCGCTCAGCCGAAAAGGAATTAAAGAACAACAGACAGCCTTCAGGATGTTTTTATTGTTGAATGGACAACTTTGCTACAATTCACTTCCCCCTGTGAGGGCCTGTGGAGTCGCCACGTCCCATCCCTGTCCCCAAAGCCATGGGGCGTGCAGGGAGCGAGGTGACACCGCACTGCTCATGGAGAATCCAGCTGGACAAACCTGTCCCCGGCGTGGATGGCGGCACAAAGCCAGTCAAAATGTACAGTCTTTCCCTTTGTGAAATGAACAGGACAGTTCTCTGCAACACAGCTCCCTCCTCTGCCACCGCTGCCTTCCTCTGCCCAGCACCAGCTGCATGGAAGACGGTCTGGGGCAAAATTTTCCAAAGCATGTATTTCCATAAAGAACATAGACACTTAGTCCCATGTTCACAAAGGCAGCAAGGCTCTAAGGTCACCTGCATTCCAAGGGGACAGCAGATGCCTAGATGCCTGAAGACCTTAATCTCATACAGCAGCTGACAAATTAGGAGTCCTAGGCACTTCTGAAAATTTTACCTCAGTTTATCCTGGCCAGGGAAACCAAAGCCCTGAAATTACTAGACTCTATTAAGGCAGAGTTCAAAATGGTTCTGTCCCGCCTCTTCCCTAAAGTATGATTTGTAACTTCATACATTAGGGATAAAAACCTATCATTACATTTGGAAGCGCTTAAAAGTTCACTTCAGGTGATTCCAAATTTCTGACACCCTTGTGGCAGTGATGGTGGTCACGTTTGCTCACTGAACACGGAGCTGGAAGGAACTCGGCCCTGACTGAAAACATGAATACAGCAAAACATTGTAAAGTACAGTCAGTGAAGAAATGAGATCCCTGTGGCACAGATTTGCCAGTCTGACTTTAATCACACCAGGCATTCAAGGTGGAAGAGAATCCGTATTTTAGCAAAAACACTAACTAGCACTCTGCTGCTGGATTCAGTCTACATTTGGACAAAAGTCAACGTGAAAACGATGGACAGAACTTTCCTAATTCACACACCTCTGGATGAAGTTCAGCACCCTTGAGTTAGCAAAGGCAGAAGGTGAAAGGAGCTGCTGGAGAGCTGGGTTCAGAGCTCTCAGCTCGTACTGAGGTCTGTAGGAAGCCAGAGTGCTCAGCAGTAAGAAGCAGCCTCAGCTCTGCATTGCTAATACTTCATAGTAAAATAAAGATAATAAATGATTTTAAAAATAAGCTACATCATACCATGAGAATTCACTACAACAGCCTCTGCTGCTGAATCACTGCCAAGAAGTGGGATGGTTTTGGTCTAAATTGTGTGTGAATTAGTAAAGTTCTACTATACAGATACTTTAAAAAAATGAACCATTGCAAGACTTGGAAGAGACCGAGTCATATCCTCAGTTGGTGCAAAATAAGCAGAATCCCACCGATTTTTGTGCTACTTCACTGACACCAGCTGTGAACCCTGATTCCTTGTAGAAACCTAGTAATAATCAAGAGCTGCCTACTGAAGTGCATCCTTAACATACAAACATCACAAATGTGTAATTAAAGTGGAGCAGAGATTCCCACTGTATGATCCCTACCAAAAATAGGAAGTGTGGCCCCAAACCTGCTCAGAGCAGGACAGACATGTGGCAAGCAAGGTGCATTTTTAAGGAGTTAAGAATAAGACTGAAATTGCTATCCAAATAACCTTGTTTTAAATAAACTGGTCCAGAATTCTCCTCTAATATTTTAAGATATATTCACTTTGGAAAAATTGAGCTAACTTTCAAAAACAACACTGATTAAAAAAGGTGTTTGATGATACCTTAAAAAATACCCAGAATATCAAATTAATTCCAGTCCAGCATTATAATTAGTTAAGAATACCTCCTGAAAATTATAACCTCACAAAAAAATGTGGGTACGGAAGTTAAAAGCATCAGAAACATTATGTACTTGAAAATACCACTGATCTTTCAACATTTAAAAACAAATCAGAACATTCTTTGGAATCACCAAGTTATTAAAACCTGTGAGTTTCTCTACAGTCTCCACACTGTCTTTTCAAATCAGTCTGTGTACAGATTCAGTCTTTGAGCAGTTTAATATTGGAAAATACAGAGTCTCTGACCAGCAGGAGGCTACATTAAACAGGAAAACATTGGCATTCTCTTTTTAGTACTGACTTCTGCCAAAAATAGACTTTCGAGCACAAGACAGCACGGCCCTGTTTTAGGAAATACTTATTTTCTCTTTTTTTCTAAAATGCATTGTATGTGTACTTCCAGTGCAAATTTTTTCAGCACTTGCGACAGGCGAGAAGGAAAAGGGGAAGAAGAGACAACTCCCTCTGCTCTTGCTCGGAGGAACCAATAGCCATAGCTCCTGACTGCTGAAACCAGCTCCCATCGCTGGCAGCTGAAAAGAGCTTATTAAAGATTTCGGTTTTAAAATAAACAGATTACAGGTTAGCATGAAATCTGGCCATGGCTATGGTTCTATGTGCATAAAGACTGGTTAGAGATGCTTTCCCCTTTCAGTATTGGTTGGAGTTCATTAAAAACAAGTCTGTGGTGTTTCTCCACGTGTGTCATGAAATGTGAGAGATCTGTCTGACTCGGGTCTGTATTTCCTGTCGACACAAAGGGCAGGTCTCCAGTTGCAAGGCACACTCCATGCACAGGTCACTGAAGGAGAAGAAAAACCAGTTAAAGCCTGCTTTTACAATACAAAAAACTAATCAACAACAACAAAATAATACAAGCACTAAGCAGTTTAGTCAGCCTGCCAGAGGCACATTCAATTTAAGTCCCTCAGTGTGGAGATTAAGCATTGCAAGTCGGGTGTTCTGGATCCTTTTACAGACTTTGAGAGGAGGTCCTGCTGCTCAGCATCTTCCAGCTGCTCCTGCAGTTGGTTGGGATCCCACTTCCCTGTGCTCATTAATCCTAGCACTCGCTCTGGTCTGGAGAGCAGCAGCCCCAGAGCCCTGTAGCAACTTCTCCACTTCTTGTTGGCACACACCAGGCACATCTCTTTTTAACTTTCCAGCATCTAGACACATGGCAAGACTCCTTCCATGAGTGCTCTAAAACTCTAAAGAATTTGACTTAACTGGATTCATTTCCTAGGAGGCTGCTTAAAGGCAGGAAAGTGCTAGTATGGTATAACTCATACTGCTGTCTCATTTTTAGCTTTTAGAGGAATTTGTGACTTAACACAATCCATTTGTTGAACATCTAATGAGTATATTATGAATTTTCTGCTCTCCTCATGTGATCCCACATGCACCAGTTTAATGTACTAATCAGTAATACCTTTGACATGAGGGAAATAAGAATCAGTAGCCCAGGGCACCACACAGGTGTAGCCTCTGTACTTCCCCAAATACACACACAATTAAGGGTTCAATCTGCTCAGGTCTAGGCTGAGTGGAATAGTGGGAATACTTTGTTTAACCTCTACACATCACATCCTTAAAAGGAAGGAAGGTTATTTCCTTTATCCTGGGGAGTCAATTGAGATGAGCAGGGACTGCGTGTGGCCTCATCTAGGCAGTACATCACACACACATTTTCCTATTTCTTTTGATTTGGGTTTTTTTAAGGTTTTACCTGTGTCCACACGGCCTGAGTTCTGTGTCTGCTACCTCATCACAGCAAAGTGTGCAGCAGTTCTCTCTGATACTCACTTGCTTCAGCAAAGCCAGGCGCCTGTGTCTGAAGGGAGACAGAGACAGACCCCCAAACATTAGACTGGCTCAAAGCAATAAATTAAAAACTATTCTGAGGATTGCATCAAGGCCAACATAACACTTGTAGCAGTGCTACACCACACTGCTAATAAACATTGATCACAACTGCACACAAAAAAAGGCTTAAGACACCCAGAGATGTGCAAATCAGTCTGATTCCCTGTTCTGGTCTGTCAGAAAGGGACAAAGAGGGAATTAAGTAACAATTCTCCTAGTTCCCACAGCTGAACACTTAAAGAAATTGTTCTTTTGTACCTAGGTACTTTCAGGAGCTAAGGAAAAAAAACCCCAAAGAAATAAACCACACAAAACCTCACAAACAGAAACCCTATAATGCTCTAACACAGTTTCAAAGAATAAAAACTGAGAATTAAATCAACATCCCAGTATGGCAACAGCCACAAGAGAGAGAAAATAGGTAAAAATCCCTCATTTGATGAAATAAGACATTTCCCACCTGGAACACACACAACACCCATCACAACTATTCAATGGCAGGGTGATGTGTCTTGCCCCAACACCAGATGCACTGAATTCACACAACTCTGCATGAGTTTATGTTAAATCCTGTGATGGATAATTAGGGTCCACTCATACAGGTCTTAGCTTTGATCATCTTAAAGTGATAGGAGATAAGGCAATCTTTTCATTTAGGATTGGCTTATCATTTCCAAGCAGTTAAGGCTGTAGGGAAGGGATGATCTTTGTTTACACAAAGAACAACAGTGTCCAACCTTGAATGGAGCCTTTCAGTGCTATTGCATAATGAAGAGTCTGTAAAACAGGAGGCCAAGTTTCACCAGTCAGGCATCAACAGGAAACCAGTTTCCCCCAGTTTGTCTCTCATCTTTTGGCACAATCTTGTAACAGTTCTCACAGATATTGCCTGAACATTGCAAGAGCAGTGCCAGA